GTTGCACATAGGATTTGTTTTTCATAGACAACTCTGGGCCCTTGATCTGGAGTCAGAAGAGTTAATTCTGTCTCTGTCTTTCGTTGACAGTAAACATTTGGGCAAATGATTTTAGCTCTATAAGCAACTTTCCTTTTATATAAAATGGAATTAATAATAAGAACTCATAGTAGTGTGAAGGTTACAGAGGTTAATTTATGCAGAAAGCACATTGTTAACTTGGAAGCAGTATATTCATTCATTCATTCATTCAACAATACACATCTATTCTGGAATCTAACAAGGAGTTGGTAGTGCTTGCTTTGGCAGCACATGTACCAAGATCAGAGCAATAAGGAGATTAGCATGGCCAGTGTGCAAGGATGACACGCAGATTTGTGAAGCATTCCATGAAAACAAAAACCAAAAACCAAAAAAAACCCAGGGAGTTGGTAATGTAGAAGACAGATAGACATGGAGGCCGACGATTATGGCACGCTGTGGTCAGACCTCCAAAGGAAGGACATGGAGGGAACGTTGAGGAAAGAGTATAATTGTCTGCAGAATCTGAAATATCTTTTCAGAGGATGGAAGACCCTTGAACCCGTCCGTGCTTAAGGAGTAGAAGTTTGCCAGTGGACAAGAAAACTGAAGTGGTAGAAGGACATTCTAAGACAGGAGACTGGTGAAGTTTCAGATGTGTGACAGAGAATGGCACTGTTTAGACCACACTTCATTTTTGCAGCCAAGGTGTGTTGTGTGGAACTAGGAGGTGGAGAGGGGCAGGCTGATAAAGTAGCCACCCTAGGACCCATGTCACAAAGGCTGCTTATTCCTTGCTGACGAGTTCAGGCTTCACCTGGCATGGGATGGGGTGTCATATTACATACGAGGGTATTTTGAAAAGTTCACAGATTCATATTATCTTTTAATTCTATTTTTCTGTAAACCCTTTGAAGTACCATTGTATATGAGGCTGTAGAATATCGTGTTCTTATTAAAAATGATACAACTGAGCCAGCGTGAGCTACAGATGCAATTTGATATTCCCCTACAGATTGAAGAAAGATTTGCACAATCCCAGTTAACTTCTTGCCTAGAACTTTACGGCCAGCAGTTGTACACATTCCAGCGTGGCTGGACGGGGGCCGACTCTGCTATGGCACAAACAGATATTTTCCAGGTGAAGCTTAAGAATCCTCATGGAAGTCAACTCCCATTGGTCTCATTTGCAGCCACAAACCATTCCACTTAAAGACCATCTATTAGGCTTCCACTGTGTGCTGGACACAGCACTGTGCTAAGTGCAGGGGAGAAATAAAGATGAGGCAGGAATGGTTAAGGACTCACAGTAGTGACAGTTGCTGCCTGGCCAGTGCTCACTGTGGGCCTGTGGTGCTGCTAAGTGCTCGTATTGACTCATTTAAACGTTCCTAAGCCCTCTGATGTAGGTATTGTCATCCCTACTCTACATAGGTTGGAATAAGCAATTTTGCACACATGGCTAGTTTTTGCAGGGCCTAGGATTCAGACTCTTGTGCCCGACACCAAAGTCAGCATGCATCGTCCTTCTCTTAGTCTGTGACAGGGACAGGTGTGTGTACGACTAACCATGTGTAAAGGGAGGACCTGAAGAAGTGAAAGAAATTGAAGAAATAGAGTGGAGTGAAGGCCCTTTTTCAACTGTAAAGTAAAAATCAAACAATTTTTTTTTNGGCCAGTGCTCACTGTGGGCCTGTGGTGCTGCTAAGTGCTCGTATTGACTCATTTAAACGTTCCTAAGCCCTCTGATGTAGGTATTGTCATCCCTACTCTACATAGGTTGGAATAAGCAATTTTGCACACATGGCTAGTTTTTGCAGGGCCTAGGATTCAGACTCTTGTGCCCGACACCAAAGTCAGCATGCATCGTCCTTCTCTTAGTCTGTGACAGGGACAGGTGTGTGTACGACTAACCATGTGTAAAGGGAGGACCTGAAGAAGTGAAAGAAATTGAAGAAATAGAGTGGAGTGAAGGCCCTTTTTCAACTGTAAAGTAAAAATCAAACAATTTTTTTTTCTTTTGCCTACATTTCTTAAATTGTATGCCAGAAAAAAATCAATCAGAGCAGTTGTCAGCCTCTAACAAGCTAGAGAGTTGAAGGAGAAATGAAAGACTGGGAGTGAATAGGGTTAGTTTGAAACAGTCAGAGGTCAGGGCAGCTCAACAGAGTAGACTTCTGAAGGAGTGGGAAATCCAAAGCTCTGTGGCAGATAATCCTTAAAAGGAAATAGGAGCAAAAAACAAACAGACAAAAACAAAGCAGTGGAGAGAAACTGTCCATGAAAAAACTAATTTTAATGTTCAGGGAAAACAGAGGAATAGGATCATGGAAAGAAAAGCTGAATGAGAAAAGACAACAGAACAGCAGAAGGACATTTAAAACGCCAAAGATTGCAAATTAAATCTTGTTGGTGTAAAGGCCGGTTTACACTTCTGATATATCGCAGTGTTGCATTTATTTATTATTCCGTAAAATTATATTTATGGAAGAGAGGGCCAGAGATGAGCACCAGCCATGCTTGGGGCTCCCGCCATGGTCTGCTCATTAATATTCAACAGCTGTTTCCTGAGTGCCTGCCAGGAGCTCGGTTCCCTGAGAGTTTCTACCATAAAAATTATAATCTTTCAGAATTTTCAGAGTGCAAAGGGGTGCAGATGACACCAGGACAATAGGCTTGCAGTACAATTGTCCTGGTCAAATGGAGACATCTGGTCACCCTGTTCAGGATGACGAAGGCTCTCTCCAGCAACCAAGTTGTTGACTGTCCTATAAGGGAAACTGAAATATGTACACAATCAATTAGAAGGAAGAGTGGAAAGTGGGAAAGTGCCAAAGGACTGACATCAGGCAACATCTGCCTGGAAGAGAGACGGCTTCTTGCTAATCAAACAAAAGAGCCAGGTGGCTTGGTAGCGTCCTTGATTCTACCAGTGATTGTTGCTACTGAATTGAGTTCTTGTGACTGAGCTGAGCCTGAAGTCCAGGCCTCCCACCTGCGTCTGGTGCCTCTTAGGTAGCCTTATGTCTCACCAGTGGAGCAGTCAGTGGGGGCTGGTAGAGCCCTACGTGGAAGTGATTCAAGATTACACTGGTGCTACAGAGCGATTTAAGTTCCAAAGTAAGGCCTTTCAATCCATTGGTGCCACCAACATTTTGTTTATACTTAATTGATCAAATAATTAATATTTTAAAATTGATTATAAATTAATTCTCTCTTTTAATCATTCAAATCCCCCTCTGGAATATGGCAGCCACTAGCCACATGTGGCTACTGTGCACTTGATATGTGGCTAGGACATCTGAGGAACTGGATTTTGTTTTTGTTTTTGTTTGGTTTTTTGGCAGCTGGCTTGTATGGGAGTCTAAACCCCTCGACCTTGGTGTAATAAGGCTGTGCACTAACCAAGCGAGCTAACTGGCCAGCCCCAGGAACTGGATTTTTAATTTTATTTAATTAATTTTATTAGCTTTAACTTTAAATTTTAAAACTGACACTTAACTCAATTATTAAAAAATGTTTAAGTATGTTTGATACAGTTTGCGTATGTCAATGTACTATTTCAACTGTCAATTTTATGGAATCTAAATGTAGATCAAGTATTTCCAATGAAGACTTGGTGTCCAAATTGAGATGTGCAGTAAGTGTAAAATATACACCTGATTTTGAAGAGTTAGTGCCAAAGGAAAAAAAAGAACATAAAATATCTTATTAATAATTTCTATATGTTTACATGATGAAATGATAATATTTTATCTATACTGGGTTAAACAAAGAATATTAAAAATCATCTAACCTAGTTCTTTTGTTTTTTAATGTGGTCACTAGCAAGTTTAATGTGACGCATGTGGCTTGCATTCCCTTATTGTCGGACCGTGCTGATTCGAGTGTTGGTAACGGCAGTGTTCCCAGCACTGTGTGTAACGTGGACAGTAGACACGGAGGATGTAAGGTTACTGCTCTGAGGGAACACAGGGTTCCTATGGGAGGATGGGACATAAACTAATCAACATAAATAATCAGTTTGAATTCAGATTGTAGTAAGCACTTGGAAGCAGTTATGCAGGGTGGTGCTCGAGTAATGGCCAGCGGGAGGGAGGCCACACTTGAGAGTGTGGTCAAGAAAAACCTCCCTGGATATAGCTGAGCTGCACCTAGAAGGATGAGGGGAAGTTGAGACAGGCGTGGAAGGTTTCTCAGCAGAGGAGGCCTTCAATCTGGGCCCTGAGAGTGGACCCACCCTCATTCAGAAAGATCTTTGGCTCCTGGGTCAAAAGAAAGATATGAGGAACACTCTTGGCTTGAGACCAGGCCTGGCACCTTGGAAGGTGCAGATCCCACTGGGCCAGGGGCCAGGCTGTCAGTGAGCACATGGGCGAGAGTCTGTTGGCAGAGTCACCATGCTGGAGCCAGCTGGAGGTTGAGGGCTGGGAGTGTGACAGGGTGGCTGTTCTGTAAGAATCAGAACACTCATTTTGACAACTGGGTATTCACAGCAGAATGGATAGTAGGTTTTTAAATTGTGGTGCTGGTGTGTGTGCCTGGCTCCTTGAAAAGGGACAGAATGTTCCAGGATGGATACTCATTGTAATCTGCTTTAGTAGGTCTCAGCAAAGATTTGGAAGTCGACCCAGAAGCAGCCATTGTGATGGGCAGACATAATCTGGCCCATCTGTAGAGAGTGGCCACAGCAGTGGTGTCAGGGAGCCAAGAAGACGTCACACCTGACTGGCTGGCATAAATTGAAATGGGACCAGCAAAAGTCATGAGTGGCAGCCAAGTCCTGAGGGACCTCTCCATATACCCAGACCTGCTCCTGTCTTGCTTCATAAGAAACAGCATGTGTCGTGGTTAATCGCATGGGTTCTGGAGTCAGATCTTGTCTGAATTCTGCTTGGCCATTTACTAGCTGTGGGAATGTGGGCAGAGAACGAAACGTTCCTGAGTCCCAGTTTCTTCATCCATAATGATGTCACTTACAGGATGCCAACTAACCTCTCAGGACTGTAGTACGAGGATTGAAGTGCCTGATACATTGTAGCTATTATTATTGGCATTATTTTCATTAATTCCTCTTTTACTTTCTTTTTTTTTTATTGCCCTGTAAAAGCAAATTTAAAAAGTTAACAGATTAGATTGGGCCATCACTCACAGGTTAGCATTTGGCAATACTTATTCTGACACAATTAAGAGAGAGATGGCTCTACTGACAACACCACTCTGGGGAAAAATAACATAGTTTTGGCTCTTCTGGGCAGCAGACTTTGGCAAACCCATGGAAATCACAGATTTCCTCTAAAATTATTCTCACATTTCCAATTCTAACAATTTACAGTGAAAATCCAAGGATCCTTTGTGTTTAAAATAAGCAACTTGGAAGAAAAAGAATTAGAGCAAGGCATCTTCACCTGAATCGTTTTGCAGACGTCTGCCACATAGAGCATCCTGACATTTAGTTTTCCTGTGGTTCTCAGCCAATTTAAAGAGGTGTAGACTTCGTGCCAGGCGAGGGCTTGAGGTAATGTAAGAGCATTTGTTTGAGTTCATTTTTACTTTTGGTTAAAGAATAATTCAATTATTGTGTAGGATATAGTGGAAAAGCCCAGGTTTAGGAGTGGATTTACATGCCAGCAGTGCACATTCTTATACACAGCCTTGGACATTGGCTTAGCCTTTCTGAATTTCAGTTTCTTTATCTGGAAAACGGAAATAGCATCTGACCTTTTTGTGTTGCTGAGGGGATTAGAGTCTATGTAGACAGAGCAGCTGGGACTGACATGTGGTTCTTGGTGAGCAAATCCGATAACACTGGCTGTGGCATTGTTTTTTCCTTTCTCAAGAGAACATGTTAGTTGCGTAGATGGGTCTGGGATGGCACTGTCCAGGACACCAGGAAAATGTAAATTTCACACATAGGTAGATCAGATTATAACTGGGTGAAAGTCCTTTGGCCAGAACACAAACAAGTCAGGGTTCTAAGAATTCCTTTTATTACAATGTTTTTCTTTTTCCTGATTTTTTTAAAATTTATTTACTTAAGACAGTGAGTATTTACATTGCTTCTCTAATGTGTTTAAGAACTTTGAAAGTGTTCTGGAACCCTCTTCCTGACTTTAGCTCAGTGTTATCAAATATTTTAAATACACCTTGAGATAAAAGCAATGAAATAAAACTTGTGTTTAAGACACAGTTGGAAAAAAGATGCCAACAGTGCAGTGAGTTATGGGACAGCTAGCACAACCCGCCAAAGGCCGCCTGCCTTCAGTATGCCCAGTATCTGTGCTTTGCACCTGGGCTGTTTGTCCTTAATAGTGATGGTTACTAGGTGTGTGCATGTTTATGTGTGGCTAAGGGAATAAAGCCCACGATGCGTGACAGTGCCAATGCATGACTAATAGCAGGAGAATCTTAGTTTGATGAATGGCATTAATTCATGGTTCATTTCAACTTCACATATTAAGTGCTCACTGGATATCTACTGTGTATGTGTAACAAGAATATTTCTTTGTAGGCCCATATTCCAAATCAACAATCCATTGTTGCATTTTAGGAAGCTTGTTTTAAATAGCACCTTTTCTCTTGCCCACATGGGGGTCATTAATTTGTAATGGTTCAATTGCATGTAAAAAGTTGGGCGTCAGAGCAGGCCTGAGAGGGAGCAGACCTTTCTTATCTCAAATAAATTGTAATCCCACTTGGACTCAAGTTCCTCATTTGTAAAATGCAAGGTTGAACTAGATGATCTCTAAGATCCCTGCCCAAAAGGCAAAGAATCTGTAGCAGAACACACGGGCTGCCCACCGAAGCATAACATAGGTCTTTGTTATGTGCTTTATTAGTCAGAGTTCTCCAGAGAAACAATAGGAGCTATATCTCCTGTTGGTATCCTGTGTGTGCGTGTGTGTGTACTTGAAAAAGTCCATGAAAAAAAAAAGGATAATAGAAATCTTTCCATAAACTTTTCGAAGTACCCTCATATATGTGTGTGTGTATAAATATATATATATATAGAGAGAGAGAGAGAGAGCGAGAGAGAGAGAGCATGTGTATGTGCATGGGGGTGGGGG